TATTATATAAGTAATAATATATAACTAACTACGTAACGTTAAGGTTTAGGTTAGTTGTTCTTATTTATATAGTATTTATTTTATTTTTACTTAGTTTACCGTGTGCCTTGATGAGAAGAATACACACCTAAAATTTCAAGTGATTTGGATTTGTAGAAAAAAAAAATTTCGAGCACTACTCGACATTTGTGACTATCAGATCGGTCCAATTCATTCTGAGCCGTTGGGCTCATGTGTTCATATGAGCTAGTGGTCTAATCCCAGCTTTTCTCTCTTCTATATATATATATATATATATATATATATATGGATATGTGAAATGATATCATGTCACCAAGTCATTAAAATATAAAGAAACCATACTTCTAAAAAACCATGTTTGTGGTATTTATATGATCCAAAATTTTGCACTCTTTTTGTCTCAATAATCAATCTAAAAAAAATAAAATTAACTTGCATCTTATACATGGTCAAAATGAATCATCTCCAAGAATGAATCTGACTATTCATTAGGTGAATTTTATGATTTAGGCTTTTATGAATTCAAAATTATTATTATTATTTTTGAACATTATTAATCTAATGATAATAAAGTTATTTAAATAATTTGAAAAAAAAATCCTTTTAAAGCTTAGGTCTAAGGATCTCACCAAAATAGATGGCCAAAGTTAATTAGGCTAAAAACACTTTGTAGGTTATGTTTTTAAATTTTCCTTCTTTTCACTAGTTCCTTAGAATAAAAAGAGTATATTTTAAAATTTGGGTGAAACAAATGGCATTAATATAGTTTTTGAAGATTATTTTAATATACAATTGTCTTGTGTGCGTGTGTTCTTTTTAATTGATTCCAAGAATGAGCATATGTTTTGAAAATTCTCACACTAAAAATAGGGAAGATATAATTAAAGGGTGTGGTTTGCATAAGGTTGCAACCTTAAGTAGTCAAATTAAGGCACACTTCTAAACTATTATAAAAGGTAATTTTGGCGTTAAAATTCTTTGGATGTGTTAGAATCTATTTTCATCTCTAATCATCAAATTTTAAACTTACAAAATGGTTCAAATCAAGATTTTTATAAACACTTGAAAAATCTTGAAAACAAACGGTCCAGATAATATGTTGCAAGATGTATTATTTTTAGGACTTGAATATTATTATTTTTCCATATGTATACATGTTGACTACACTATTGAAACTTCGAACCAAAGTTATTAAACCCAGAGCGGATTGAGCGGATTGGTAGTCTGATAGGTAAAATTAACGGGTGGAACCTTGGGTCTGATGCGAGTACTAAACTGGAATTTACACAGAACCATGCAAAACTAGCATTTGATCAGTTGAACCGATTCGATTGTCGGTTTTGCTGGTTCTATTGGTCCATTTGGTTTAGAAAGTTGGGTTTAAATTCTATAGTTTAACTTGAAAGGGAAAAGTTTATATAAGGTTGCAACCTTAAAATGTAAAATCACAGATGCACCTCAAAAACCTATTAAAAATGTTGTTTTACTGTTTAAAAAGTCCTCTAATCAATCATCTTGACATTGAGATCTATGAATATGAAAAAAAAAAGCTTTTGAATCTAAGAAATAGTGCATCTTGCAACACATTATCTAGATCGTCCATTTTCAAGATTTTTATATATTATAGATCTATTTGATTTTAACCATTTTTTAATTTAAAATTTTCTAATTAGGTATGAAAATAGATTTTAAGATGATACTAAGAATTTTTTATAACAAAATTGCATGTTATGATAACATTTTAAGGTGTGCTTTAATTGGATTGTTTAAGGTTGCAAATAGAATTTGAACCCCAACTTAAATCCTATTTTTTCAAATTAATTGTCAATTTTTTACATGATCTTATTCTTCCTTTCATTATTTTCATGTTGATGGCATGGAAACTTTTTATTAGCAAATATCATGATAAAAAAGAAGCCATATCTTACTTTTTTTCAAAAAAAATAATTAAATGTCGGATTTGTCAAAATCTAGCCTTTTATTGTGCTCATTCTCTCTACGTGTTTGTGCCATGCCCATGTAAAATGGAAAGAAGAAAAGTTTTCCATACACAACTTGCTATTTTCATCCCCGATCACCGGGGGTCTCTTTGTAATATAGCTTGAGCCACAAAAATAGATGCAAATTGGAAAAGTGTTCCTAATTTCAAACCCAAGATTGAGTAATTTTAGGATTTTAACAATTTTATCAAAAATAGCATTCTTGAAATGAAAGTAAGCCCCAAATTGCTAGATAGGATTTTTTAAATCTTTTAATCATTTTTGTAAGATGCGATGAACCTAAACTGCATGCTTTCGATTTGCAATAGAGAAGCGTTTGATGGTCAGAGATTACGCCAGCCATCAATATATAAACCAGCAAAAGCACTATGATAATTAACCTGAAATATTGAAATGTATAATATGAGACCATCTATTTTTGGTATAGAAAGTCACAGTCATCTTTAGCTATTAGATTTGAAATTTAGACACTAAGAATAATGCGCAAAGTTTGAGAAAATTTTTATTGCTTATTGTTCATAATAAATAGAACACCCTTTGTCATTTGATTTCACATTTGATGACTTTGATTTCAAGTTTGATAGCTAGAAATAAGTATGACCTCCTTGTGTCAAAAACAAATAGTCTCGTCTTATAGTTCCTCCATAAATAAATGGTACTATTTCTCTCTTAAGCCAACAGAGCTAACATCAAACTAGAAAAAACCATACAAAGAACCTGGTTGTCCATTTCTAAAAATTAAATACATTCCAATTTCCTGGGAGAGACATAAGTTAACCCACGTCGGCAGTTAAATGCGCCAAAACTCAGTCATCAATCTAAGCACGGCGTTTGAAAGACCTTCCATGGGCTGTCTTCTTTGACTTCTCGACATCTGGTTTGGCTCTGTCCAAAGCCTGTATCATTTAAAAGCCAACATTAGATCTGCCAAGATTAAAATCAAATCTGTCACTTGATACTTCTAATGCTGGCTAAAGCCTAATATTGCTTCACACGCTGCTGTCACAAACACTGCTACTCACTCTCTCTCTCACAAACACATACGCAAAAACCAGAGGGAGAGAGAGAGATTCCATTAAGACAGTGAGATAATATGAAACTCATACCTCAATGAGTGATTCCACTCGCCGCCTCATTCTGGTATGCATGAAACCCTCTGAGCACTGCAGGCAAGCGTTAGCAATTGCACCACTTTCAATTTAATGTAACAATAATAAAACTTAGCTTCTGCTATTTTAGAGATCTCTCACTTTCATGAATGCCATTTCATAAAAGGCATAGCCATAATCCATTGCGTATGTCCGATTGACAATGTAATATCAGTTAATGACAATTTGCAATTATTTATCACAAATGTGATCTCAAAAGGTTAAAGCCCAAAGTATTATTGAAGTCCTGGCATCAAGAAAGTCCATTTGAAAAATGTTACTCACCTTTACGTGGTAACTGACATATGCGTGAAATGAGGACAAACTCCAAACTGTTCTGTCAAGTTTTCGGCTTTCCACATGGCGTGGGAAAATGACTACACATGTGAACACCAAGAATCAGAGGCAGAGTAAACCTAAAAATAACAGCTTTCTTTTCTCTGATATTTCTATGGGAAAGGAGATCTCTGAGAAGTAAGAAAAGGAAAAACAATTCTGAAAAGAAAAAAATGGAAAAAGTAAAAGAAAAGCCCCAAAAAGATGGGCATCAAAGCTCTGGTTCAAATATTACCAAAAGTAACAAATCCAGCATTTGCAGTTAACGCTTGAATGGGAGCACCTCTCAACTCTAGTGGAGGAGATGGGGACCAGAGACATGGAGGCGCATTATTTAGGCCAGCAGTGCGTCTTGCCTCCACAAATTCCTGTACAAGTATTCAACATTTGTTCCATCATTAGAGTTTCAAAATTTCTACCGTACAGTTTGAAGGTTGGAAAAGGACCATTTCGCAGTTGCACCATTTTTCTTCATTAAATATAGGAGAGAGCAGCTTTATGGACTATCACCTATTTTCTGAGAAAATTGTATATATGGAAATGTTTCTGAAGCAAAAATTGTGTATGGGTGTTCGTATGGAAAGAGTCCACAACCGTCAGATCATTATCTAACCTTGAACCTTGAGATGTGAATAAGTATCCAATTTGAAATTACCAAAGTACCCTCACATCTCAAAGTTGAAATAGGATCCAAGAGTCCTGGATGGACTCTCAGGAATATGGAAACCATCGGGAATATATCTACAGGACCATGGACCTTGTATGAAAAGAAACTTGTATCATTTTAAGCCATCTTGAGTCAACAATCACCTGCAAGAAGGAGGTGGCCAGAACAGTATCAATATTGTCCTTAAATCTCATGGGAAACACCACTGTTACCTTTTCTGCCTGAAACACGGTATAGGAAGTGGTCAATACTAGTACTTTTCAACAATCAAAGCTTACAAATCATAGAGCAACAATACAGGTTTTTGTCCATATGGTAAGCTTTTAAGCAAAATTAAAATAAAATGGTTATTCTCAAAGCAAAATGGGTCTGTTACACGAAGTTCAAATGTTAGGGCCTCAAGTAGGTATCTGTATATATTTCATGAATGTTACTCTTAGTGTATGTATGCTAGAAGGTAGAAACAAGTCTGACTGTCTAAATACAACTGCTATATGCGCGATAAATAGATATACAACTCAAATATATATATAGTATAATTCTCCCTATGTGCCCTCAACCTCCTGATGGTTCAAAAATTGTTGCACACCGACTACAATTTTAAGGATAAATGGCAAACATACAAGTATTCAATCACTGGAAAACGATAGCACAGGACGAGAATTAAACAAGCTCACCTGAGGAAGAAGAAAAAAGGACTCCTTAGGCCTGTGTACGAGTGCAACCAAGCGATCTATATCAGGAGCAACAGTCCTTGATTGGAGATGCTTAAGAACCACTCTCAAAGGAGCACCTAATACCACTTCTCTCACTGATGCAATCTTTACCAATAGAGCATGGCGCTTCTCTGTGACAATGAGACAAAAAGCAAAGCTTATAAACAATCATGAAAGGCAGTATTAAAGGTAGCCAGAGTCAGAAGTAGGTGCACTTCCCACAAGAATGTATGAAGAGCAACAACTTTTTTCTTCTTTTTTTTCCTAAATGCTAATTAGGTTACTGGTCGAGAAACTTTTTTATGTTGCAACTCTCTGGCTCATATAACACACACAGTAGTACATTTTCTTGTGCCAAATCCAAACAACCCCAAGATTCACTTACTTGTGTTCCTTTCTGGTGTGCATCACCAGAAAGGAACACCAATATGAAAAGTCAGTCAATTCATAGCGGTAAATATCAAAAGCTTCAAGAGTCCAAGAATCCAAGAAAAGTCATCCGGGTGTCACCTCCTACCTAGGTTACAGACCAAATAGTTCACCCATAAGGATTTACATGATTCAAATTTATCTGGAAAACAATACATCAATAAGGATCCCAGCCCATTCAAACATGATAAAATTACAACTAAATTACATGTCATCAACTATTATGCAGAAAATGCTAAGAAGTGTAAGCTGAAAGGAAATAAAATACAACCAATGAAAACTCACAAATCATTGTAAAAAAAATCCAACTTACATACATAATCTCTATGCACTGATTCCATATTTTTCACAATTTCTTTTTTAAATTTTTAAAGTGACCCGCATTGGACCTAGGTACTCGGCACGGCAAGGAGCTGAGTCTGAGTTTTAATCCTTGAACGCAATAAGCATTCAAACAATGTATCCACTCCTAATAATCAAGACAAAAAAAAAAAAAACAACCCTCCCTCCCTCCCTCCCTCCTAATAATCAAGACAAAAAAACCAACCCCTTAATTTGTTTGGATAACCAAGACAGAGAAACAGTTAATATCATATATTTACGTCTTTTTACATTCAAAAAGAATGATTACTGCCCTCATAATTTGTTTGGACAACCAATATTTATTAAAAATAGTAGATGCAGCTTTGAGGCATAAAGAAATCAAACAGTGTTTATCATTAGAAAGAAGAAGACCATAATGATCACGGAATGGTCCTATGTTCTTCAATTCAACCACAGCATTCTCATTATGACCTTGGGTAAGAAACTCGTTGAACCTTCATCTGTTGGAAGCTTTGACAAATTGAGTTTTATTGTAAGATTATATCCATCTTTTGGAGGATCGAGAATTTGTACGACGGCACCATATGCCAACTTTATAGCTTCTATTGCTCCTAAAGGAAGCCCGCCAATAAAAACAGTTTCTGGGGGAGGAGCAGGAATTGCCATTGATAACACCATGATTTGGTGTTCCTTCGTAGAGAACTGCAAATAAGAGTTCCACATCAACTGAAACTAGTGTCTTCCACTATTTAATCAACATCGCAGTAGAGGTCTGAACAATCAATATATTTTTTTATGATTAGTAACAACAAAATTAAACAATTGCAGTCCTTTAATAGGATGGGACCAAAGGAATCAAAGTGAGCAGACATAATATATTATTACTATGAATATGGCCTACACAATACCTGAATTCGGTAACGAACGTCATCGAACTCAACCGAATGGCAGTCCATTTCAACCCCTTTCTCTAAACTGCCAGATTCAACATCCAGAAACACCATCAGCATGAACACAAGCTCCAACAAGAATATTTGTTCAATTGATTCTGAAACCCTTCCCCCCTGAATAATCCAGGCTTTTTTTTTTTTTAAGTTGTTAACTGTTCTATTTATAATCCAGGCAATTTTAAACCCAGCCCTTTAAAATTTATATTTCTCGAGCTCAACCTTTGTTTCTATAAAACTTGAAATTAAAGTACCCCAATCTATTTAAAAAACGGTTTTTATAGACCATTTCACTCAAAAAAAAGCAAGAATCATATCACAAATAAGTCAAGACTTCAACTGATAAATACGTAATACGAACGGCTAAGAATTTCGCCCCAAAAAATGAAGTAATCATGAGTATGGATTCCTTTTATCAAGGAAGTATCATGGCAGAGTTAGGTGAGACCAGAAGGTAGAGTGACAAGGCATGGAGATGAAAGCAAGAAATTAAGGCATAGAATTCTCTTCCATAAATGTAATTAAGTAAAATTATTCTGTAGTAAAAAGCAAGAAAATGGATGCAATTACATGGAAGCTAAGACTTTGATGAATATAAATAACAGTTACAGATCATTCAATACAAAATTGCAAAGGCGAAACTGAAAATTAAACCATTCACATCTTCCCAATCTATGATTATCTACCGAATAAGTCAATAACGCGTTCAAAAAGAAAAAAAGACATTGCGAAAAGCATACACTCACTTTTGTAAGCGATTCATTAGAATCTGGATGAGAAACCTCGAAGGTGACTGTAAAAGAATCATTTGCAGAAAGAAGAAGCTACTCTCTCTCTCTCTCTCAAGCGAATAATTCTTTGGTTTCGTCGCTGACCTCTCTGCAAATGAAATCTAGGGTTTCGAATCTCCCACCGTACAACTAAATTGTAGGGTTCGACGAATTCTAGGGTTTCACCACTTCCTCTTTTTTTGGTAATAAAATGATAAACCGGGCTGACAAATATTACAGACTACCACCTCGAGAGAAAAGTAAATTACAGAGAGCAAATGGCTGTACGGATACAGGGCCCTATGTTGCCTGCGTCGTTTACATGAAAGTTACCCGGAAAGAACCTGGTCTTCTGTCTATATGACTAGAGTACCCCTCATACTCCAAAATGACTGGACTGCCTTTGATTTTATTTTTTAAAAAAAGCAAATTCTCAAAAGTCAAAACTATTGAAAATGAACTATTTAATATTTTAGAGCGAGGTTTCAATGCTTCTTTTACATCATAGAAATTATATCCTTTCCCTACCATCTAGCCGTTCAATTTTGATCAAGAGAGTCACTCACCATTTGATCTGACATTCAAACTATTTTATTTTTAATTTTTTTATATAAATTATATGAATATAAAAGTTAGTACGTGTCATCTTCTCATTGGAGCGCACTTATAAAAAAAATTAAAAATAATTTTTTGATAAAATATAATGATCAAAATACCTTTTGAAACTTTTAAAAGTATTTTGGTTATTTTAATTTATTGATAATATTTTATTTTATATATTTTTCATTAGTGCGAGTTTAATAGAGGAATGGACGTTCAAAATTTGATATCAAAATAATTTGTAAAAAAAAAATTAACAATAAAATAGTATAGAGATGTGATATTGTGATTGGGGCAATCTTAACCCTCCATTCAAAATGGACGGTTGGATAAGGGGGAGGATAGAACTTCTAGGTCGTTGGAGAAACATAGAAAGCTTGCCCTTTTATTAATGTTATTTGATTTAATTTCAAAAAAATGAGTTAGGAATAATTGCATAAAAATGTTGAACAATTGTCATGTGTATTTTCTTTTAATTTCTCTTTTCTTTTTTTAAGCGTTAACTTGTATGGGGAGTTATGCTTTTTTCTCGTATTCCATCCATCTATGTTCTCTACCGTCTCACTTTTGAAAAGAAAATGAAAAAAAAAAGAAAAACCCGCAAACTTAAGGGCACGTTTCGATGCATCCAGAAAAATAAAGTGACAAGAATAATCAAATATATTGAAAACTATTAAATATGCTTTGGTTGTTCGGCTGATAAGAGTATCTGAACGGTTAAAATTGCATATAAACTTAAGGGTTTATAGAAGGGTAGCAATGTACGTGACCAGACCTCATACTCGACGGGTAGACACGACTTCAGGTCTGGATGTGGGTCCAAAATTTGGACCATACTATTTGGGTCTGGGTCGGGGTTTAGTTGGAATCAACCCATACCCGACTCATACCCATAGTCATAGGATATATGATGACAATTATGTATCTTTAGATGTCCACTAGGTGTTCATATTGTCACAATATTAGCAATATTTACAGTATTATTGGCAAAAAAAATAAAAAGAAGTTCATAGGCATTGGGTGGCAATGGATCTAACCAGACCCGGAACCCGACGGGTCTGGGTATAAGTCCAAATTTTGGACCTGAGGTCTGGGTCCAATCGGACTTGACCTATGTCCGATCTGTTGCCGCCCCTAGGTTTACATGGATAGCGGTAATTTTATTTGGAGTATACTATCTTATCTAAAACTAATGTACTTTCTTTAGTGTTATTTTCTTAGTTGTTTTGCATATACCTTTTAGTATGTATAATATCATATGTACTATAAAGTATGTACATTATTATTTTTTAATTAATTAACATTTTTTATTAATTTCCAACTATTTTTATTTGGCCAAAAATATTAGATTTTCAGCAAACCATTTTGAATAAAATAAAAACAAATTTTAAAAAAGATAAATTTATATGTAAAATTGTTGGTCAATAAGTTTATCTCAGACACCAGTAAACAACACATAAATCATTATCATGATTAAGTTTATAGAAACAATAAATTATTAATAATAACGAGTACATCCAAGCAGGCCTTAAATACTTTTCTCATTTAATCCGGGTTTGAGGGGAAGTCTCTCTTATAATCTTATATTGTCAAATAAAAAAATAAAAAAAGAAGAAGAGGTGAGTCTCTCTTCCTTTTCAAGAAAATAAAATCAATAGATAGCAATAAAGCATCATAAATTGTTTACTCAAAACTGCTCTCTGTCTCTTAAATTTTAGAAATGTAGAGGCTTAAACTGAGATTTCCCCAACAATTTCATGCACCTAGGAACTTCCATACAAGCTTTGAAAAGCGTGATTCAAAATCGAAAGAGAATATAGAAGTGACTTTATTCTTTAATTGCCCTTTATTTGAATTTAAATTTGAATAGCAGACTTTACTCTTTCATTTCCATTTATTTGGATATAAAATTTGAATAGCATACATTATTATATTCTTTCATTGCCCTTTATGCCACTTTAAAATTCGAATAGCTTGAAGGCAAGACCTTGATGTTCGTGGAACGTGCTCAAGAGCATATATGCTATGGAATCATCGAACTTATCAGTAATTTATTACCCAATTATAAACATGGAGCCAGGCTTCATGTTGGCACTACGTGATAGAGGGCGGATTTGATTTCATGTAATCAACCACAAATAATTAAAAAAAAAGTATAATAATAATGATAGACACTATATATTAGAATATTAAACAAGAAGAGTGCGTGAGGACGGCTTTAAAAGCTACATAATTGAAGTTAGTTAGAAGGAGAAACAAGTTCTCTATCCAGAGAGGAGTGAGAAGCCTGATTGGTGGTTGTAATTATTTGTGGGCAGGCATACATAACATGAGAGAACACATTTTATGATGCATTAGTGCTAGAGAAAGGAATCCTTTTATATAAGGGAAAATTACAAAAAATACCCTAAAATGAACTATATATGCAATTTACCCCCATCCCAATCTTTTATCACACTTGTTTCTCCCAACAACATTTCTTCTCCAAAACCCCCCCAAACTAAAAAATTCTTATTTTTTGGATGGAACTGCCTTTTCCATATAAACCAAATCAATTCACGGATCCCAAGTAGAGTATTGCCGGAGCGCAGTATACTATTGCCAGAGTGGAATATCAAGAAGCACTGTCGAAGCGAACTGTCGGAGCACATATTTTCACTGCCGGAGCACGTTCTCAGAATGTCGGAGCACTGTGGGTCAGATAAATGACTACTGGAGCGCACATTGGGACTGCTAGAGCGCAGTTTTCAATATGTCGGAGTGCACATTGTGACTACTGGAGTGCACATTGTGACTACCGGAGTGCACATTGTGACTACCGGAGCGCGCATTCGGACTGTCGGAACGCAGTCCTCCATAGCTGGAGCGGACTGCTGGAGTGTGTAGTTGCATTGTCGGAGAGTGTTATCAAAATGTTGGAGCCCTCTGGGTCAGACAAAGTACTGTCGAAGCGCACATTGGGACTGCCGGAGCACGTCTTTACTGTGGGAAACAAGAGAGAGAAGGCCGTGTGAAAAGAAACGAGGGTACTTTAGTCTTATTTCATGTTGCTTTTGAGTTAGAGGGGTTTTTGCAAGAAAAGGTAGTTTGGGGGAAAAAAGTGTAAGAAAAGTTTGGGGTGGGGGTAAGTTGCATAGATAATTTATTTTAGGATGTTTTTTGTAATTTTCCCTTTGTATAAGACAAATAACTTATAGATAGAATTTTAATTGCAATAGTATATTTACTCACGGATTGCATACCGTAGGAAATAGGGTTGGTGGTTAAGAGGGGATAATGCCTCAACATAACATCCCACCCTTCATTCCCGCGATTAACATATTTTAGAAGAACAAAGGTTTGCATGGATCCTATAGAAGGTCAACTTCGACGGATGTAAAACTCGGATGCCCATCGAAGGAATTGTGTGGAACCGAAGTGCCCCGGAACGACCACCATAAGCCCTGAAACCATCCAGAGTCTCAAAACCAATATTGTAACACCCAGACCGACCTAGTTGGTCCACTACAAAGAATTGGCCTATAACGAATATTGTAACACCCAGACCGACCTAGTTTGCCCACTACAAATACTTGGCCCTGAACCCAGAACTCTAGAAGACCCCTCATAGGCTAGGAATGACCTCGAGATAAGAGGAGATCTAGAACAGACCACCCGAAATGGAAGGAAAACCAATATATAATCAATGACATTTCCAGCAACACCAGCTCTAGTGGTAGCCTCGTCACAACTCCAAAGACACCAATGTCAACAACAGGGCCAGTAGCATTGAAAGGGCGGTGAGCCAAATCACCAAACTAACATCCGGTGTGATCAACAACATTACTTGCAACACCAACTCTAGTGGTAGCATTGTCATGACTCTAGGGACACCAGGGTTAATGACAGGGCCAGTAGCATTGAAAGGGCGGTGAGCCAAATCACCAAACTGACATCCGGTGTGATCAACAACACTATCAGCAACTCCAACTCTAGTGGTAGCCTTGTCATGACTCTAGGGACACCAGTGTTAATGACAAGGTCAGTAGCATTGAAAGGGCGGTGAGCCAAATCATCAAACTGACATCCGGCGAGGCAAATCACCAAACTGACATCCGGTGTGATCAACAACACTACCAACAACGTCAACTCTAGTGGTAGCCTTGTCATGACTCTAGGGACACCAGGGTTAATGACAAGGCTGGTAGCCTCGAAAAGGCAATTACCCAAATCACCAAACTGACACCTTAATTAACATTGGATGTGAAAAGCCATCATCTACCTCGAACGAGGGCCGGTAGCGTTGAAAAGGCAGAAACCCAAATCACCACACTGACACTTCAATTGACATTGGATGTGAAAAACCATCATCTACCTCGAACGAGGGCGTCAATATCATTGAGGTAGGTATTAGTAACGTCGCTCCCTGATTGGCTCAAATTGCTGACAATCGCCTGACATTGGAATGTACAAACCAAATCGAAAAGTAATCATCATGTCATTAATACCAGTGTCACCATCGTCGGATGAGGGTGTTAGTAACGGCTGCCCCTAATTATCCGGAATCACCACCCACTATTAGACCTTAGTGTGGCCTTAATTGCTTCAACGACGGTGTCATTATCATAAACTACAGGGAACACTAGCGTTGTGGCCAGTTTTGAACCAACAAATGCCAGTAGTGATGCCAACGCTATCAGTGGTGTCAT